CCGAAAAGGTTTTTTTTTTTTATTAAAATCCCCCCCCCCCCCCCCCCCCTTTTTTTTTTTTTGGATTATAATCAAATTCGCCAACTAACCTCGGCTCCCCCCAGACCCTCGTTACCCTGGAACAGTTCAAGCAGCAAAACGAAGAATACGCCATGACAAACGGCATCTACCAGGACGCCATCACCCAGTCCACCTCGGTCCAAGTCGGCGAGGACGCCGTCCACGAACTCCTCGGCAAGCTCGCCGACGACGCCGGCCTGGAACTCAGCTTCGAGCTCAACAAGGCGACGCCCGAAACCGCCGAGCCGCAGACGGCGGAGCCCACGGCCGAGGAGGAGGACAAGCTGCAGCAGAGGCTGCGTGCTCTGCGTGCTTAGATTTTCGTGGAAATTGTTTCAGCGTTTTTTCGTTTTTTTCCTTTTCTTTTTGTCTTTCCCCCTTCCCTTACTTATTGTTATACATTGTGGTCGACATAAAGGACGAAGTGGAATGTACGGGACCCAAGTTTCTTGATGAACCGGCGGGCTGTAATTTTTTCCGGTGATTTTTTCTCTTTGTTTTTGCTGTTTGGACAGGGTTTTGGCGTTTTCTTTTTCGGGATGGAGGGCTTGTTTTTGCTGGAATGTTTGATGGGATCGAGGTGAACTGGATCAAGAACTTGTTGGGAGTGTAGCATTAGAGCTGCAGAAATACTTGGTGCTCAACTTGTTGCGATTATCTTGCTTTGCTACCTCAGGGGGGGCCTGTTTGATATGCCATACCCATTCATACAATACATATACATACATGCAATGAGCCCTGTTTACCACCTACGCAAACATGTACAGATGCCATGCCATGGTTCTGGTGTCTCTATTTGCTTTCCCAGCTCTTCTCTTGTCGTAACCGTCATAAACCATTCCAATCCAATGTACACCGACATGATAAAAAAACCTTGCAAGTCTACCCACGAGACCCATTTTCTCACACATGCAGAAATGCCTCTAAAAGGAACCGTACATCATCACCCTGCTCACATGTACAGACTCGCCACGGCCGTAATATCTCTCTTGATCATCTCCTGCGCCTGCTGCATCTTCTGATACAGCTCAGGATCGCCAATGATCCTCGCCGCGTTCTTCACCTCCCTGCACGTCTCGTCCAGCCGCGTAATCGTCCGCACAATGGTGCCCTCGAGAACGTCCGTCAATGCCGTGATGTTCTTGAAGCTCATTCCCCTGGCCCACTCATACACCACCTCCATGAGGCCGAAGCGGGGCCTCGACACAAAGTCATTCGAGTCCTCGCTAGACTGAATCACTTGCAGCCGTGTCTGCACATCGTTGACCTTTTCGGATATGGCGATGATGGTGTCACGGCCACGCTCGAGGTTGCCCGTCAATGTAGGTTCCGTGAGCGTCTTCTCCTGAAAGACAAACGAGGACAAGAGGGCGGCGATTTCGGCGGGGTCAAAGTCGGCGAGGACGTTGTCGAGGATGAGTTCGGTCAGGACGAGCTCGTCGCCCGAGTGGACTTCGCAGGCGACCTTGCCCTTGAGCTGGATACGCGACGAGTCGTCGATAAAGTCGAGCTCTCGAAGCACTTGGACGCGCTGTTCGTAGTCGGGAAGTAGCTGAAGGTTTTGATCTGAAAGAGATTGTTTCAACTGAGCAATGTGCTCTGTGATGAGCCATTCATCGTGGCACATGGCAAACTAGAACTCATTAGTGAACCCGACTTTTTAAAGAGGAACAGTCCAAGATATCAGCATGACTTACGTGCTTCAAAAAGGACGGGCATCGTGCGGCCCCAGAGTTGGCCATCGTCTTGGACAGCTCAAATCTCTTCTCAATCATCTCCTGCAGTTGCAAGCTTTTGACCTTGCTCATGTCCATCTCATCCCACCGATCGTCCCAAGAGGCGCAGACCTCCTGTATCTTGTCCAGCGCCTCGTGGCCGGCTTGTTTGCCTTTGAAAATCTCGGGTATAACTCCCTTTAGAACCCACCGGGTGAGGCATTCGACATCGCTCAGGGGGACAAACATATTCTTAGTGGTGAGACGCTTCTTCCCCTGAGGAAGCTTTTGCATGTGTTTGCGGAATGCGGGAATAAAGGGCAGCTGGTCCGTCACGTCGCGCCGTTCCCTGAGCGGCTTAATGGCGCAGACATGCAGGATGGGCTCTTCAAAGGATCCCTTGGGACTCATGCCCTCGGCGAGGAGTATGCCGGCTGTGCGGATGCCTTCCCAGTTGAAGACAATCAGCCGCTGCGGCGTAAACATCCTTCGACCGATGGAAATCTTGAGCAAGGCCTTGTATAGCTCCGTCGTCAGCCGCTTGTAGTCTTGAGCGGCCTGGTGGCAGTCATCCACCACTCCGTCGCAGACTTTGCATGGCTCTCTCTTGACCTTTGCAAGATCTGCTTGAGCGAGCTTGACGTCCTTTTCGTGCTCCGGCAGAAGCTGCTGCGTTGCATGCTCTGAAAAGCTTCTCTTGATCATCTCTTCAATCTTGAGGGCTTCCACTCTCAGCAGGTTGAGAATCATGTTATAAGTCAGCCTGAACTGAGACTTTAGCTTCGATGGCTCTCCCAGGATCATGTTACGCAGCTCGGCAACGGGCGGTGCTTCGTCGCCGCCCGGGGGCACGATGATGACGGAGCCGACCTTGTCAAGACCACGACGGCCAGCACGGCCAGCCATTTGCGTGTATTCGCCGGGCAACAGGTTGCGGAACGAATGGCCATCATGCTTGCGGTACCCAGAAAACACCACCGTTCGGGTGGGCAGGTTGAGACCCATGGCGAACGTCTCGGTTGCAAACAAGACTTTGACAAGCGTCCTTGCGAACAGAATCTCCACCAGCTCCTTTACAATGGGCAGCAAACCGCCGTGATGCACCGCGATACCTCTGGCCAGGAGCTCCCGTAGCCTGATAATCTGTGGTAGGACTCGGTCCTCGGGCTTGAGACGGGCAATGGACTTTTCAATCACCATGTGAATGGCGCTCTTCTCCGAAGCCGTACAGAAATCCTGGTTGCTCAATGCATCTGCGTTTTCCTCGCATCGCCTCTTGGAAAAGACAAATATGCAGGCCGGCAGAAGAGTCTGCTTCCGTAGATACTGAACCATGTGAACCCATATGTTCTTGTCTTGTGCAGCCGACGACCGTCCGCCGGGGGCTCCAGCGCGACCCATGTGTCCCGGATTGTGGCTCGCTCGAGGAGGTCCTCCTCGGCCTCTCTGCTGGCCGCCTCCCCGACCTCCGCGCTGCTGTTGGCCTCCTCTCTGGGGGCCGCCTCGACCACCGCCGCCTCGACCACCGCCGCCTCGCTGGTTTCCCTGAGAACTGCTTCCCCGGACTGCGACGGTGTTGGTGGCGGGCACCTTTTCCTTACTCTGAGTCGCCTTGTGTGCATCTTTCCAGCCGCTCTCCAGGAATTTCTTTTCCGAATCCACAATCTTGTGAATATTCTTGCCGGCCCAAAGGTAATGTTCCAGGGGGACCGGTCTCTTGGCCGTGGAAATGACGTAAATGTCTCTTTGCTTGGTTCTACCAACCCAGGAGGCAAACTCGTGAGTGTTGGGGACGGTGGCTGACAGCAGAATGAGGGAAATGTGCTCGGGCAGCATAATGATGACTTCCTCCCACACGACACCACGCTCGTAGTCGTTGACGTAGTGAACTTCGTCGAAGATGACAAACTCGACGTCACGAATCAAGTCTGCTCCGCGGTACAGCATACTGCGTAGAATCTCCGTGGTCATGATGAGGCAGCTAGCCTCAGGGTTGATCTGCACGTCACCCGTCAAGATACCGACCTCGTCAAACTCCTGTCGAAAGTCGCGGAACTTTTGATTGCTGAGGGCTTTGATTGGTGATGTGTAGATGGCCTTGGTCATATGCTTGGCTGCCAGGGCAATGGCATACTCGGCCACGACAGTCTTTCCGGCAGACGTGTGCGCCGCAACAAAGACGGAGTCACCGTTTTCCAGGTGGTACACGGCTTCCTTTTGGAACGTGTCAAGCTCAAAGGGCCACTCTCGAGCCATGTCGGGGACGAGTTCTCTGAAATTGGGCATGTCGTGCTTGATGTCGACCATGTGTGCCCATTCACGCCCGGCCTTTTTGGCACTGGACGCTGCGAGAACACCATGAGGTTCAAGAGACGGAAACTCCACGGGCAGCAGGTCGTCGATGTCATCTTCGTTTTCCTCATCCTCTGCCGAATCTCCTGAAACCTCAACGGGTGACGATTCCTCCTCCTGATTGACCTCCTTTGCCTCTTCGGGGTCCTCCTCAAGCTCCTGCTTAATCGCAGCGGCAGCATCCTCGTCCCCGGCCGTCTTCTTGCCAAAGTCAATACCACGGTCCATCCCGGGAGCAGTCTGTAGCAGCCCTCCTTCACCTCCCAGCTGAATCACCCTCTCCAGTTTGCTTCCAGCGGCGGCGTCATCAGCACCCGTCACTCCGCCGTGAATCTGGTCCTCCAAGGCGGCAGTAGCCTCGATACCCTCCAGCCCACCAGGCGCAAAGGGAAAGAAACCAGCAGCTCCCCTGACGAAATCCGCCCTGCTGGCCGGTTTCCGGAGAAGACTGGTCGAGTTCTTTGCCGTGGCACCGCTCATGGGCACAGTCACATTCTTGTATCCCGTTACGCGGCCCTCGAGTCCGTGGCGCAAGAATCTCGTCAAGGTGCGCGTCTGGGGCGGTGCAATCTTGAACAGGGCCGTGTAGTCGGCCTCAAAGTCCCATCTCTGCTGCAGACCGTCCAGCCACTCGACGGAGAACTCGGGAGAGGGCATGAGCAGCTCGTTTTCCAGGCGCTGCTTGAGCTCTTGGGGGTTTTGGAGCCGCCGTTTCCTGGGCCCCGAGCTGGGGATGCCCTCGTCCTGAGACGCCAGAAGGGCATCGATGCCAGCCATGGCGTAGAGCAGCCGGAGATGAGATGCTACTTGGGGTCTTTTGATTTTCTCTCCTTGTCTGACCAAAGGTGATGTGATTCTTGAGCTGATGAAATGCGTGATGGTGGTTGAAACGATTGATAGGCTTTGGTTGCTGTGAAGCTTATGAGGTTAAGTTGCCCCGCCATGGAAATGCGGGTCTGGGCTGCAGGCAATTGAAAGCTGGCAAGGGCTCAGTGCTCTCTATTGGGACCTTATTGGGCTCTGAATCACTGACAGTTGATTTCAATGTTACGGTAATAATAAATGAAAAGAGGATGAATCTCAAGGTATTTGAGCAATTGATTTGTTTTTCTTGAATAGTTTACTGTCTAGGATAGGGGATTGTTTACTATAAGCAGCCAGAGAAGAGACGCATCTTACACAGGGCGTCTCTTCTAATAAAACAATAACAAATACAACATCTTCACTCTCACAGCAAGCCATTGCATTCACAATGGCTCGGCAAAGGGCGTGTGCGTGAAAAAAGCACATAGGTAATTACGAGTACAAGTCCATTATTTTCCCCTCCGTCCGTCTATTGAGAATATTTTTGACCAGAGGTCCAACAGAATTGCTAGCCTGATGCGCTTCACCAACTCCCCCCTGAAGTCAAAATCCCCTCCATCCGATTTGATTCCACCCCCTTTGAGATATTATACCGCCAGCCCGGATAGCTCCCTTCCTCTTGTTTCTTCCCTCCTTTCTTTTTTTTCTTTAAAAAATGTATTCATATCCGTTGGATTGAAAACAAGATGGTTAATTTTTATCCTCCTTGGCACTGAGAGTGTTACAATCGCAGCATCTTGGCGGCAAAGTTCTCAATCAGTTGCTCGTTGGGGAAGGACATCTCCTCCAGCTTCTGGGCGTAGGGAGTGGGCACCTCGGCACCGGTGACTCGCTGGGCAGGGCCATCAAGGTAGTCAAAGGCATACTCCATGGACAGGGCGAGGATCTCGGCGCCAACGCCGAACGCAGGGTAGCCAGACTCGACGACAAGCAGACGGTGGGTCTTCTTGATGGACTGGACAATGGACTCAAGATCCAGGGGCTTGATGGATCGCAGGTTGATGACCTCGGCCTCGACACCGTAGTTCTTCTTGAGGTTCTCGGCGGCAACGAGGGACTGGCCGACGCATCGGGACATGGTGACAATGGTGAGGTCCTTGCCGGCACGCTCCACCTTGGCCTTTCCAAAGGGGATGACGAAGTCGTCCTTCTGGGCAGCCTCGGACATGGGGAAACTCTGGCCGTACATGAGCTCGTTCTCGAGGACGACGACGGGGTTGGGGTCGCGGATGGCGGCCTTGAGCAGACCCTTGGCGTCTTCGGAGCTCCAGGGGGAGACGACCTTGAGGCCGGGGATGCTGCCGTACCAGGCAGAGTAGTCCTGAGAGTGCTGGGCGGCGACACCGGCAGCGAAGCCGTTGGGGCCACGGAAGGTGATGTTGCAGGGCTGGATACCACCAGACATGTAGAGGGTCTTGGCGGCGGAGTTGACAACATGGTCAATGGCCTGCATGGCGAAGTTGAAGGTCATGAACTCGCACTATAAAGTGGGAAAGCGTGTCAGTGGACAGACATTACAGTCACAACAGGGGAAGAATGAAGAATGAAGACGCCATGTCTATACAAGCCAAATACCACAAAAAAAAAACACACACAAAGGAGCATGGCATCGACATCATATAGCAATGGCATATATGGAAATATAAAAAGTATTATAAAACTCACCACGGGGTGCAGTCCGCTCAAGGCGGCACCGGTAGCCAGGCCGGCAAAACCCATCTCGGTGATGGGAGTGTCAATGACACGCTGCTCGCCGAACCGATCCAGCAGTCCCTTTGTGACCTTGTACGCTCCGTTGTACTGGGCAACCTCCTCACCCAGGATGAAGACCTTGGGGTTGGCCTCGAGCTCCTCGGCCAGGGCCTCGTTGAGGGCATCTCGGACGGTGTACTCCTTGACGCCAGCGCCCTCGGCGTACGACCTGCTCTGCGACGATCCGCCAAAGTAGACGGGGCGCGCAATGGCCTGTGAAAAGGACGGCGCATTCGCCTTGATGGATGTGGCAGCTCGTGTCGAGGCAGCCAGACGAGCTGCGGGTCGGAGGAATCGGGACATGGCGGGCTGAGGCTGAGGATTGGCGGCTGGGGGGAAAAGAGCACTTATCGACAAGAGGACACGAAACCGCTCGCAGCTTAGCCGTCTGCTGTCTAGACGGAGAGAGGGAGTTGGGGAGAAAGAGGCTTTGGTGTTTTGTGCTTTGGAGCGGGTTTAGTTTAGCTGGAGGCTGCTCCCAAAAAAACACCAAGAGGGAATTTCCGGCCCCCAGGCAAAAAAAAATCCCAGGTTCCCCAAAAGCTCGTCCAGCCAATGGAGCACAGCGAACTTTTTTTCTTCCTCCTTGCGAGCTACAGCGGGGTCTGTCCGCTAATGGCCAGGGCCTTACAGCGGGACATTGGCACTGAACCCGCCTGTAATCTTTGTTGGGGGAAGCCAAAGAGTACATGAGTGCTGACTAAGGCGCATCTCCGCTGCCGGAGGCCTTTTCGCCGCGATAAAGCGACGGGGCTGTCGAATCAGAAGGGCGAATTGGAATTGGTCTGCGATATGCATCTGCCGGGACTAAGCGGGATCAGATTCAATCAAAGATAGCGAACGGCTGCAACGTGGGCAAACGCTGTGGATGATGCAGACGAAATGGCTCACAGGAAGAAAAGGCAGACAGCAAAACAAGTTGGCAAAATGGTCATTTCATGCAAAAAATAGAAAAATTATTAAAAAAAGATGCAGCGGTTTGCATCTTTTGCTGTAGCCATTACATATGCGTACCAAAAAATCGTGCCGACTGTCTCATCAGCAATGCATCGTCATCCCGTTCAAGTAATCATGCTCGACGCCGCTTTTTTTATATATCCTCCCACTGGGGTCGCTCGTTACTCCACGTCAATCAAGGTATCAAAATAATCCAAGATGGTATCAATTGCTGGTGCCCTTCACACATACACACGCACGCACGCACTCCCTCTTCCCCTCTTCCTCTTCCTCTTCCTCTCCTTGTCCGTGTTTAAGCAGAAGGCTTGCGGCCAACCATCAGGTACATGGGAGTGAACAGGTGCTCGCGACCACCGGCAACCAGGCAGTCGGCAGCCAGAGCCAAGCTGTCGGCCGTCTTTTTGGTGCCGGCAGGGGCAAGGCCAATCTTCTCCAGCAGACCAGCCAGGTTGTGGGCAATGGTGCGGCCCCAGGTGGTCATGCGGACAATGGTAAAGATGTCTCCGATCGACTGAATGTATCTCAATTCACCGGACAGAGGCCAGTACCAGGGAAGGGGGTCGGGGCGATCAGCGAGATCCTCATGTCTGAGGAGCTCAAAGCCCACGGCGCGCATGGCATCCAGAGCCTCGGACACCTTGCACATGTTGGAGATGCCGTCACCCTGCTCGATTCCGAGGCGGATCTCGCGGTGGTGCAGGTTGTTGTTGTCGTATTCATCAGTCATGAGCCACTCGTAGACGCCAAAGACACCGCCGGGCTTCAGCACGCGGAAGATTTGGCCGTAGATGCCCTCCAGAGTGGGGGCGTGAACGGTAGCCTCAATGGCATAAACAGCGTCAAAGGTGTTTTCGGGGAACGACATTTGCTGCGGGCGGGATTTGCGTCAGTACAGAACAAGGGCCCGGAGACCGAGTTGATGCGGGGCCAAACATACCATAAAGTCGCCCTTGACAAAGGCCAGTTGCTTGGAAAGGCCCTCCTTCTCGGCATAGTGGGTTGCTCGGTCGATCTGGTAGTCGTTGTTGTTGAGACCAGTGACGTGGCAGCCGGTGAACTTTGCAATCTCGCGGGCAGGGCCACCGACACCGCAGCCGACATCGAGGACTTTCATGCCCTCCTTGATGCCAATGGTGTGAGCCAGGTAGTGCTCGTGACGGGCAATTGCCTGGTAAAAGGGCTCGCCGTGGGAGAATCGGCAGAAGTGGAAAGACTGGCCCCAGCCATACTCGTACAGATCCGTGGCCAGGTTGTAGTAGTGTCTCGTCAGAGTGGCATACTCGGCCGTTCGCGCCTGTTGATTGGAGGGTTAGAGACCGTGGTCCAATTCAATCAATTGCCCTCTCTTCCCAAGGGAGATGTAGAAGAGGTGTAGAGCAAGGAACGGCAAAAGAAAAAAAAAAGAACTTACGGCACGCTCCTCGGCGGTCTCGTTCTCGGCGGGCTTGTTGTCCCAGTGCTTAAAGTACTCGTCGACGGCGGCCTTTTTGGCGTCGGAGCCCTTGGAAAACATGGCAGCAATGCCTCCCTTGGCCTTGGCCGAGTTGCCGTGCAGAGCCTTGTTGAAGGCGGCGTCTCGCGCCTTGTCCTCCTTCTCGAGAGCTACGGATGCCATGTTGAATTAGGTGGTTGTAGCAGGACAGAATTGATTAAAAAATTAAGACGGAAAAATCTCTATTAGCTGCACGAAAAGAGGGTCAAAGGAAGGAAGGAAAGACGAAGAAGAGAGAGAGAGAGCACACAACAAAGATGGAGATGCTCCAAAGGTTGGGGGGAAAAGAGGACGGCGGGCTGCCACGCGAATGAGCGGAGCTGGGACCTTTTATGCGTTGTCCTTTGTTTGGGCCTTTTGGCATCAAGTTTGCAAATGGCAGCAATTTCATGGCACCTGTCCGCTTCTTTTTTACCCCTGACGAACGGCAACCGCCAATCTCCAATTGGATTCGAATTCTGCTTGTGATATCGCACTAGACGCGGAATTTGGCCCTTTGGTTGGCTGGATCGAGGACGGGCCGCCACGTAAACGGTAGGCGGTGAATGCCCCGCAGTGTGCGAATACGAACGCGAACTCGCTTTGGGTGTCCTTGCATGCGCCTCTTTTTGCTTTGCGGTGTGTTGCTCCATCGGCTTCACTTCTTTTTTTTTTTTTCCCGTGCTAAGGATGCGGTATAAACTCCATATTAGGAGAGGTTTATCTGCGGAGCCAAGCGCCAAATCTCCAAGTACGCGTATAAGATGTTAATTAGTGCTGCTACTCTTGTACTAGTATTCCTCGTTCCTCGTACCATCTGTATTCGCTCTCGTACATGTAGAAGTCGTTGTCGGATAGATGGTTGCGAGCTGAGATTACCAAGTAGCATTGATGTGGCAACGTCCGTCCGTGTCTTTGAAATTGGAGTGACGTCCATTCCTCCCTCCCCAGCCGCGTGTCCAATTTCCCATACCCGTGCGTATACATAGGTACAATCAACTTACCGTTGTAGTACAAGCAGAATAGCATGTGCAACTCTTGCCGAGATGTGACATGTTTCTGGAAGCCACAGGCACATACAAACCTAAACGTTGCCTCAGCCGAATCCTTGGAATTGAATCGAAGCCACTTTTTTTTTTTTTTGCTTTGCAATGCGCTGGGGGTGGCTATCGATAAGATTCCGCATCATGCTTATGTAACCCCGGTTGCCCGGGTTGTGGCGGGCGGCGGCAGGTCTCCACCAAGATTTCTTTGCACGTCGCGATCTTGGATTTGCAGCTTGCATTCGTCCAGTTACACTCACAGTCGCAGTCGCACCTCGAGAAGAAAACGAAACACCATCGCCAACCAATCGCTGCACCTCGTCGCCCGTCATGCCGCCCCAAATCAAACAAGATCTCAACCGGTCGGGATGGGAGACGACCGACTTTCCTTCTATCTGCGAAAACTGCCTGCCCGAGAACCCCATGGTCAAGATGCTAAAGGAAGACTACGGAGCCGAATGCAAATTAGTATGTCGCTTGATGCTCTTTTGCTTCATCGAAATGTATGCTAACAGAGTTGCCAGTGTACGCGACCATTCACAGTATTCAGCTGGAGTTCTGAGCGCGCTCAGGGCCGCAAGAGACGGACCAACGTTTGTCTGACGTGCGCTCGGCTCAAGAACTGCTGCCAGAGCTGCATGCTGGATCTCAGCTTCGGCCTGCCCATCACCGTCCGTGACGCCGCGCTCAAGATGATCGCTCCGGGGCCCCGATCCGATGTCAACCGAGAATACTTTGCGCAGAACAACGAACAGTTGATCGAGGAAGGCAAGGCCGGAACGGAAGAGTACGAAAAGACGGACGAAAAGGCCCGCGAGCTTCTGCGTCGTCTCGCCGCCAGCAAGCCGTACTTTCGCAAGGGCAGAACCGTGGATGAGTCAGAACTCGCCGGCGCAAGAGCTGGTGGGAACGCTGCAGTTGGAGCGGGCGTGGGAGGCCCTGGCCCGATCCGAACTCGAGATTCAAGGGCCGCAGCGGCCGCGGGCGCGAGACCTGGCGGCAAGGGGCGAGGCCGTCCAGCATTTCCGAGCGCAGCACAGCTCCCACCGAGCCCAAAAGATTGGCTGCCGCCGGATGATCCCAACATCATGTCCCTTTTCGTAACGGGCGTGGAGGACGATTTGCCCGAGCACAAGATCCGCGACTTCTTCAAGGCCCACGGCAAGATCAAGAGCTTGGTCTGCTCTCACATGTCCCACTGCGCGTTTGTCAACTACGAGACGAGAGACGCAGCCGAGAAGGCGGCGGCTGCTTGTCGGGGCAGGGCGGTTATTGCTGGATGCCCGCTGAGGATCCGCTGGGGACAGCCAAAGGCGATTGGCACCATGGATCGGGAACAACGCTACCAGATGCTGCAAGATGCTCGCATCCGCCAGAACAAGCCGCAGCAGCGCGCCCTGGAAGGTGGCCAGCAACCAAGCGTGGCGAATCGTGCGATTGCTGCACCGCCACCTGGTGCAGAAGAAGCGCCCACCTACGCAAGCATGTCTGGGGAGTAGGGAGATTTTGCCATATCTGGCCTATTTGGCTTTCTTTTCCTCCTTTTCCTCCTTTTCCTTTTCCCTTTCCCTTTTCTTTTTTCCATCATCTTCTGGCGTTTTGGTGCTACAGGGAAGCTACAGCGGGATGCATATTACGTCGTCTACATAACGAGGAATCAAACATGATGGAAGGCTAAATATATCGTGCGTCTTTGGATTGGAGGGTATCATGAGTCCAGTAATTCTACATATTTTTTTTTTTACAATGCTATAAGTACAGAAACTGCTCATCAATTGCAGCCACAACCACCACCACTCTTGCCATTGCCCGCCGTCAAGATACTGTCGTTATCGCCTCGCTCGGTGTGTTCGTGTATTCGTAGCTCTGTTGTTGGAAAGCATTAGCAAGGCTACAGCATCTTGAAACCGTTCCATTGGTCCCGTAAATCTTACTGTAGGTGTGCGTGTCGCCTTCGCTCTCCATCCTTTGTCCCTGGACAATGTTCTGGCGCAGGATGGTGGCCACGTCCTCGGCATGTTTGATTGCCGTCTGGATGTTGGAATCGGAGTCGAGTGCGCGGTTTTCCTGGAAACCCTGGCGAATCTGGTTCTGGGCGGCAGAAAGGACATGGACGTCGCCTGGATCCCATTGTTAGCCCTGCTGCGGGTGTCGAGATTATATATGAGGATTTTTGAGGCAGCGCATCCTACCCTGAAAGGCGATCCGCGCAGCGCGCATGAGGTTTCTGTAGGCCGCCAATGACATGGTATCGGATGGTTGAGACAGAATCGCTAGCAAAAAGAGAGAAGAAGAAGACGAATTACAGCCTGTATCATGCAGGCGAATGGAAGCGCCTGTATTCAAGATGAGTACTAGGTAGTAGATAGCAGCGCGGGATGATCCAATATCAATTTTGAAGCTGCTGCTAAACCACGGAGGTCCGGTTCTGCCGTCTTCCGCCGCCATCCCACCACCGATCAGATACCAGTAGCGCTGTCAGCCCCTGTCAAAACCCCACCATTAGCCGTTGGTGGGAGAAGAAAAAAAAAACTAGAGATTGCCTCACTACCCTCAATCCGTCCTTTTCTTCTTCTTCTTCCCTCCTCAACCCAAAGTCTGTCATTGCAAATCGTCACAATGGCTTCCGTCTCGCAGGTTGTCACTCTCCCTCTCCCCGCCCTGCCCGAGGGCTGGACTGCCGAAAAAGACTTCAAGGCCGTCGGCAAGCTCTCCGGGGCTGTCCAGCGCAGCATCGAGCCTGTTGGACCGCATTTCCTGGCTCACGCCCGCCGAGCTCGTCACAAGCGCACCTTTTCCGAGGACGACCGCATCCAGGCCCAGGAGAGCGCCAAGAACGTCGAGGATGTCGATGATGGCGAGGAGAGCGAGCCTGAGGACCCCATGATGCTCCAGAGCCAAGCCAAGGACTGGAAGGTATGTGGGAAAACAACATGATGGGGGAACGATATCGGGGCTGGGATGGTCAGTCCAATTCGGCCAGTGCTAACAGAGACACACAGACTCAGGACCACTACAAGGTTCTCGGCCTGTCCAAGTACCGCTACAAGGCCACCGAGGACCAGATCAAGAAGGCCCACCGCAAGAAGGTCCTCAAGCACCACCCCGATAAGAAGGCTGCCCTGGGCCGTGCCGAGGACGACCAGTTCTTCAAGTGCATCCAGAAGGCCACCGACATTCTGCTCGACCCCACCAGACGCCGCCAGTTCGACTCCGTCGACGAGGAGGCCGACGTCGAGCCCCCCACCAAGAAGCAGCTGCAAAAGGGCGACTTCTACAAGCTCTGGAGCAAGGTCTTCAAGTCCGAGGCCCGTTTCTCCAAGACACACCCCGTCCCCACCTTTGGCGATGCCAACGCCACCAAGGAGCACGTCGACGAGTTCTACAACTTCTGGTACAACTTTGACAGCTGGAGGAGCTTCGAGTACCTCGACGAGGATGTCCCCGATGATGGCGAGAGCCGTGACCACAAGCGCCACGTCGAGCGCAAGAACCAGAACTCTCGCAAGAAGAAGAAGGCCGAGGACAACGCCCGTCTGCGCAAGCTGCTGGATGACGCTTCCGCCGGTGACGAGCGTATCAGGCGCTTCCGACAGGAGGCCAACGCCGCCAAGAACAAGAAGAAGTTTGAGAAGGAGGCTGCCGAGAAGAAGGCCGCCGAGGAGGCCCAGGCCAAGAAGGACGCCGAGGAGAAGGCCAAGGCTGATGCCGAAGCCGCCGCAAAGGCTGACCGTGATGCCGGCAAGAAGGCCAAGGAGGCCGCCAAGAACGCCGTCAAGAAGAACAAGCGTGTGCTCAAGAGCTCCGTCAAGGACGCCAACTACTTTGCCTCTGGCGATGCCTCTGCCGCCCAGATCGACGCCGTCCTGGGCGACGTCGAGCTGGTGCAGGCCAAGATTGATCCTGATGAGATTGCTGCTCTTGCCGGTAAGCTTAACGGCCTGACGGTGGCGGACGAGATCAAGGGAGTTTGGACCGCCGAGGTCAAGAGGCTTGTTGATGCTGGCAAGCTGAAGGAGGGAGAGGCCAAGACGCTTGTGTAAGTGGACTGAGGATGGATTGGATGAAATTGGAGGCTTAGAACTAAAAACTAGACGGTCATGATGATGATGAATAGAATGGACTTTTGATGGGCAATGTCTAGTGCTTGAACCTGTGTATATGATGTGCCTGATGAATGCATGGATGTATCTACAGCCAATCTCAATCCGATAGCGAGAGCACTTCATTCTTTCATTCTCTCTTACCTACTGCATTCTTACTTGATATGCAAACAAGTTCTGCTGCGTAGTTCTGATAAACTGCATTGATCCGTTCCGAGATCATGCTTGCTATCGATGGCAAGGTGCGTTTCTCCTTGCCGTCTGATCCACTCAGCAACTTCCAGGGCTCAATCAAGTTGTAAACTCCAGATTTCTGCTCCTCAGTCATGCACTCACTTTGGCATCAGCGTTGGTGAAGTTGGATTTCTCCACCGATGAGGGATCAGTCAGGGTTGCCTTTTTGGATTCTTTGCGATATGTAGCCTTGGCGGTATTGAATATCCTATATCTAGTCGTTATAAGTCATAGGAGTCAGCATATAATAACAGCAGTCCTAAGCTTCAAGGTTGACGGTAAGTTTGCACAGACGAACATGAATCTCAAGGAACAAAACCCGGCTCCACTGTACACAAGGGAGTAATATACACAAAGGAACGACGTAAACAAAGGAATTGTGAGCAAGTTATATAATCCTGTCATTACGCACTTTAAATCGCCAGTCTGCGTCCTTTAACCTGTATCTTTTACCTTATTATAAAGAAGAAGAAGGAGAAGAAGGAGAAGAAGGAGAAGAAGAAGTGCACAAGGCCCAGCTAAATGAACCATGGCGTCGGAAGACGCAATTTATAATAAAGCTGTAGAGTGCTTGAGAGCTTTCAATGATTGCATCGAGGCACTGCCATCGACACCATGGCCGCAAGACCAGCTTGACAAATTCCACCTTTGGGCCGCTGATGGCGGCATCTTTGGAAGTTATCACCAACACACTTCCATGGACTGGCGGGAATGATACTTCAACTTCTGGCTCTACTGAACGACTATCTTTCTGGTACTGTCCACCTTTTGGCCAATGACCTCATGTTGCCATAATAATGCTTGATAGAAATCTGTACCTTGGCCGATCCTATTGCCGGAAGGGCTATCGCGGCTGTAGAAGATACAAGCAGCCAGACTCAACTGCCCTCATCCCACGCATCAACATCAACTAGCTCATCAGAATGTTCATTCGGCCAGGCTCCCGAGACATCGTCTGTGGTTGCAGACCCAATCGACAAAATGCGAGAGAAGGTGAAGCAGATGCTTTCAAGACTTTTCAGACTTTCTGTTGCTATCCGCTCTGCTGGGATGGGTTACAGACATACCAAAGCCGCAACTTTTGTTGAATGGCAAGGTGGTGTGAATTTTAACACAAAGATTTAGAGAAGGCGTAGAGCTTGCGGAATACGCCTTGATATCCCTCCCCGAGTCTCCACATGCCGGTGCGAACGTTTCCCGGCAAGCTTCTCCAAAGTCTCCAAATGTCGATGATGACAGGATGGGCCAGAGTCGTGAAAGTGAGATCGAGGTCGACGGGATGCTTCCATTTTCGTTGTGGGATTCCGATGACCCCGAAACAAGAAGCGATCTTGTCCGCCACGATGGTGACCTTCAGCCCGTCCCAGATCCAAGTGATGCCGATGGCACAGTGTTGGCTGAAATCGGATCAGACATTCGCAATGCACGGGACGAGCGCCTGCAGTAGGAGCCTGATCCCAGTCAGAATTTGCTGAGAGAATATGAAGATGATAGTGAACGGTAAGGAGTGCTGGAGGGTTTTGTCCAGGAGAGACAGTCCGAAGGGATTAAGCTGCCGCAGGAACTGCTGGAAACTGGAAAGTTGCATAATTACTCATAACAAAGAAGGACTACCAGCCATAGCTGAGGAGAAGTAGGGGTAGGACTACTAGCCATAGCCAAACACCAATCTCAAAGAACATAATCTTGCTCCGCTGTATACAAAGAAACGACATACACAAAGGAAATCACAGAATCCAGTAACTCCACACGTTAAATACCAGCCTGCATCCTTGATGCTGCGTCCTTTACGTTCGTGTAGAGAAGAAGAGTAGAGGAAGAGCGCAAAGTTCAAATAAATCCTGGCGCCAGAATACGCAACTTATAAAGAAACTCGCAGAGAGCTTGAAAAACATGAAGAGACTGCGAGAAGAAGAAGAGTCGCCTAAATTGGATTTGAAACGGCGCCGGGGTGACGAAGTGGACATTTCCACACCATTGCAGCCGACATCAGAGGCAGAGGAGGAGCGCAAAGAGAAGCTGCCAAATCTGGAAGAAATGTGAGTTGGTTACCATCAAAAACATACGACCTAGCTGACTCTATGATCACTCAGATGGGAGAAATTAGCTCCTGAGTTTTCGAAATTTACAAACAAGTACTGGGACTTGGTTCAAAATGCACGTAGTGAACCTCGCGGGTACCGACCGATCAGGATAGCTATTATAGATACCGGAATGCTTGAGATACGGCCTGATACCGACAACAGAGGGGTTGCTGCAACTGACCGACAACAATTAGACACCCTTCGCACCGATGAACAGCAGGAACACTTGAGCAGACGGCCGATCGATGAAACTCTGCGGTCTCGCATCAAGGCAGGACGATCCTTTGTGGACGATGACGATGCTTCCAGTCAACAATTCCTCGCGTCCGACGCACATGGCACCCGGATGGCCAAAATAATAGGCTCCATTGATCCGTGTTGTGACTTGTATATTGCTAGAGTGGCGTCGAGAAGATCCGGAATCACTTATGAAAGCGTTGCAAAGGCAAGTTCAAGCTATTTGGTTCCTCTACACCTTGATGCGCTCTATCTCTGTCGCTCCATTTATTAACTTATACGCAAGGCAATACGATGGGCGATATCAAAAGGAGTTGACGTTATCTCCATGAGCTTCGGCCTCCGTGACAAAACAGACGAGCTTGAGGATGCTTGCCGTGAAGCAACCAAGCGCGGCATTGCCATGCTCTGCAGTGCTCACGAAGGAGACATAAACTTGAAACATGCCTACCCAGCACGCTTCTGTGGTACGATCCCCATTATGGCCTGTGACGAGTCTGGGATGGTGCCTCGTGGAAATAAGAAGCTGGGTAATGAGTTTGCGGTCCATGCCCCGGTGGAGATTTTTCCGGTTCTCAACTGTAACGACAATGTATCACCAAGCTCTCTGGCCACAGCTATCGCGGCTGGACTCGGCTCGCTAATTCTATCCTGCCATCAGCTGGCCCATAGGGAAGAGGAGAACGTTGAACAGAAGGGACAATCTTCGCTTGCGAGGTATTATTTGCAAAAGATGGCTGGAGATGGGTCCAATTTTGTTCAGCCTGACAGATTTGCTAGAATTGACCGTTGTATCAATGAAGGGGGGGAAATTGATATACAGGCTATTCTTCAAACATTCTTCAGAGTCTAGGATGAAGTTTCCTCCAGAGGCCCGGATTGATCCACAGACGTTGAAAGACTTTCTACTAGTTGACGAGAGAGTTGACTATGGCGGAAATGAAGACCCCTTTCTAACTAGGTAGGGCTGGATAGCCTTTTACTGGAGCAGCTGTCATGCATAGCATATTGCTTATAGGTGAGGTGGTCTCGCCATGCTTCATTTGTTTGAGAGTTTAAACACCACCAGCTATTCAACAGAACTAATGATCCGTTAATACCAACCAGAACCCGTTTTATTCATTTTTTTTTAAAAAAAATTCTAGTTTAGTTTAATTTAGTTTATCCTTCAATTTGTCCTGAATGATCCATCTCTGCTTCTGCTTGTGGTACGTAATACCTCGCCGCAGCCAAAAGGAATCTTCGGCTTCCCGCGGACTCCGGGACATCCGGGAGCCCTTGACAAGTACCTCGCCTCACAAAATGCACGCAAGAGTACAAGATGCTGCTTTCCACAGCATCCATCAGCCTGGCTGCAGATGCGTCGTATTTCTCCTGCATCCTGTTGTCGACCAACTCGGGCAACACGAGATGCTAGACATGATCTGTTCTTTGATACACAATTGCGCGTCCGGCACTTGAGAAGGCTGGTTTGTTGAATTTGGATGGCAGTTGTTGAGGTACAGCCACTAACACCGCCGGCAGTAAATGAACCTGGTAAAAGATGCTGCTGTAGAATCCGGCCTTGCGCTTCTTTTTCATCCTTTCACTCAACTCACATGAGGATGAGCAAGCCAATTTCTTCAAGAAACAAGAATCAAAACTCGTCTCAATTCGTCATAAATCAAAACACCGCAGTACATACATCACCGTCCATTTTATGATTCGCAACCATCGTATCCTTTTGTTCGTCCGCATTAGCTCAGAGTGAAAAAAAATCCCCCGATACAACAATGCAGAACCTCGCGCCGTCCGCGGCCGCCGACGATCCAACCGCCCGGAGAGCTGTAAGTGCCGGTGTCTGAGAGTCGCCTGTGGATCGATCTGGCTTGATGCGCATATCTAGCCGCGATGATGGGCTGCAGCTGGATGGGGTGATGAGATTGATAGAGTACTGACGATGGCCCTTGGCGGCATGAATGGCAGTGTGATCAGTGTCGCCTACGAAAGGTGAGTGTCGGGCTAAATCAGCGTCACCTGGGCCTATTTCATTCTTCGATTCGATTAGTAGGCTAATGGTTTCTTATAAGATCCGCTGTGATAAAGATTGGCCGTGTTCCAATTGCAGAACTGCGAAACGGAGTTGCACATCTACCGGTGCTGGACAGCGACCAAAGGAGCCTCGACAGCGAGTCCTCATCTCATCTCAATAGTGAGTCTCATCTAGACCATGAGTGTCGCTCATCTCATGTCGCCTCTCACGTCAATATTATATCATCTCATGAATCCCTCTTCGTCTCGTAATATCAAAGCATACAACTAACAGGCACCAAGCGAGAGAAAGATTGACCAGATCGAAGCCCGCCTCGGCAACATCGAAGCTCTCCTCAAAAACATCTCGTCCTCCACCTCCACAGACGCCTCCAAATTCATCCACACCCCCCAGACAGACATCACCATTCCGACCGCCGCCTCAAACGCCGACTATGACAGCTCCGACGAGGAGTCTGTCCTCGGCGGCGACTCGGGCCTGACCGTGCACACCACCTTTGCGAGCGAGTTCCTCGAGCGCGCCGTCAAGAGAGGGCCCCTGCGGCCTCTCAACCCCAAGATGGAGACGGCGCTCGCCAATCTCAGCCAGCTTGTCGAGATGCAAAAGCATCGCTCGATAAGCCATGGGCCTCGATTCCCTCTGCAAAAGCCGGTGCCGCCAGGGGGCGTGAGCAAGCTGCCGATGCCTCCGCTGGCCACGGTAGTCTCCCTCTTGAAGCACGTCAAAGGTAGGAGAAGAGAGTTTGCAAATCTTTTAATCTTCAACATGAAAAAAAAGGCGTACAATCTGACTCTAACCAGCCGCTCCTCCCACCTTCTTCACCATCCTGTGCACCCTCGTCGGCATCAAGGAGTTTGCAGAGCTGTGCAGGACCGTCTACTTCCCGACCGAGGACTTCTCGGACGCCACCTTTGCCGTGGTCAATGCCATGCTGTACAATCTCTTTGTCGAGCAACACTCGCTGGACAAGGAGGGTGCGTTGCGAGAAGAGTACAACTCGTACGTGGCCATCTGCAAGTCGAATCTCGAGACGACGCTGGCCAACTTTCCGTTGTTTCTGTCGCCAAAGATTGAGAATGTGCAGGCTCTGCTGCTCGGGGTGAGTTTGCCTTGCTTCTTGTTTGTGCAGTCATCGATGAGTAGAGCAACTGACACTGTTTGATTGATATAGTGTCTCTATGCTATTGACGTCTCCAGGCCCTCGGTAGCGTGGCATCTTATCACAATGGCCGCCTGGCTGTGTCAAGCAGGCGGCTATCACCGCACGGAGTCGCTGAGAAACGACCCTCCAGTGATTGCTCAGCAAAAGAAGGTCATCTTCTGGCACGTGTATACTCTGGACAAGGGCTTGGGCCTCAGGCTTGGACGGGCGTCGACAATAGCGGAATGCGACATTGATATCAAACGCGAGTTTGAAGTCAACGGCTTCGACCATCTCACATCCACTACATTCCCGACGTTGTGGGTCAAGATTAGTAGCCTGCAGAGCCGAATCTACGAACAACTGTGAGAAACATCTTCTTCATTCATGAACCCCTTGGCCGCCTGATGTGGTCTTGTCTTGTGTCTTTTCTCTTTCGTAGATGGGACCTAACAACTGATGGCGGTTCGTAACTTGCAGATACAGCCCAGTCGCTCTGGCAAGTCCACAGGCCGACTTGGTCCACCGAGCAAAACTCTTGGCCGCGGAATGCAGCCGGCTAGAGCCTGAGACGGACGAGACGCGTGAAAAGGTACATAAGTTGCTCAAGTCGATAGGAACCTCGGATGTCGTCGACGTCTTTATCAAAGGCGACGAGGTCCAATTCTACGTGACCAAGACGCTCATCTATCGCGTCATACCGGCACCGGAAGGCTCCATCACCCGATTCTGCGACGAATGTTTGGACGCGGCCCGTCATGCCATGAAGACGCATCAGGAGTGTGTTCAATTCATGGACATTAGCACGTACATGCGGTCCATGTACATTCATTGGTAAGGAAGATGGCAATTCTGAACCCACCCTTTCCTCTCTTCTCCTCTCCTCTCCTCTCCTTTCCTTTCCCACCAACCAAATGCTGATCGTCATTTTGTTCCCTCTCTAGGAACCTCTTGTTGACACCGTTTGCTCCGTTCTTCGTCTTGTTCTGCTATGTCATTGAGACTTCTTCATTCGCAGACCTCAAGGTTCTCCAGGACTTTGTGGACTCCCTCGAGGGCGGGAGGGGGCTATCGGAACCCATTGACAAGCTATACCGACTCTGCCGGGTCATGTGCGACATTGCCACGCTCTATGTCGAAGCCAAGGCCCAGCAGCAGCAAGACGAAAACTCGATAGGGGACGAGTTTGAGATGTACTTGAGCCAGCTGGGCTTCATCCCCAACGAGGATCAGCCCATGGCCAACGCCAACACCAACGACCCGGGGGTGCCGGCTCAGGGCAACGGCCAGGTGGCGCAGCTTGCGGATTGGTTTTTTGGCAGCCGGAACATGATTAGTCTCCTGGAGGAGGACCTGTCGCAGATAGACTCGCAGAAGTGGATGCAGTCCGACATGTAGGGTTCTGGACTTGGGCTACGGCATATGAGGTGGCATGTATACTTACCGGCATGATGATAGCAACAATACCCTGGAACAGACAACGATGGCATTCAGCCACAGACTCAATGCAGTATCCTGTGTCATGGGCGAGTCAATCAGTGGGAAACCTTGGGTCGTAGACTTCGTATCCTTCATCTTCCGTATCGCTCTCCACGAGAGAGCCTTTGTAGAGACTCGTCTTCTCCGTCGTGTCCATCAGTGCACGAGCGGCCTGGTTTGCCGGTTTACGGGACGCATCGGTCACTGCTGGTTGCGAAGCGGCAAGGGTCGATGTCGACGCCTCTGCAGGAGCTGGAGCGAAAGCGCTCCTGAAGCCAGTCTTTTTGAAGCCGCCCTTTTTGAAGCCTCCTCCGCCGCCACCGCCAGTGGATGGAGCTTCCTGGTCGTTCAACTTGATGCTGACCATGCCGTCTGCCTTGGCCTCGGCCTTCCTGGCCTTTGCGCCTGCGTTGGGATCGCGCACCATGGCCTTCATGTCCTTGAGGCGTTGCTTGTGGCTGTGGTCGTAGCTGCTGAGATGGGCCTCATAGTCGTTCATGCGGGAGTAGCCCTTGGAGCAGAGGTTGCAGTAGAAGGATTTCTGGGCCTCTTTTGCCGAGCTGGTTTGCGCGGGAGGAAGCGTTTGGTGTCGCTGGAGACGGACGCGTTAGCTTTGACGATGCTGATTGTTTAGTGAAGAATGAGAAGCACTCACTGGAGGCATTTTGAAGCACTTGAAGATGCAATCTAAGAATAGAGCAGTATCCAATTGCGCTGCACGAGAGACGGAGCTTTGCGATGCTCTGACGTGAAGCTCGCGATGACGATTCACGCAACGATGGCAACAATCGGATTGGAGGATATCGGAAGATCGGAGAAAACGGCCCGAGGGAGCTATGGTGGGGCGGATGATGAGAGGCTATCCAATCCTGGACCTGGATTAGACCGATTGCGGAGTAGCTGTGAGTACCTGTCGAGTACTAGCATGTTGGTGATAGAGTAGTGATGTTTTATGTATCTAATAAGTTCTGTTCTATTGATGTGACATTTGATATGGCTGGTCTGTTAGTGGCCAGCTTCATCAAGAGCGGAAGACTTCCCGGCAGCCGTCTCTTTAGCTACATTTACAAGTCCTTCCCAAGGCAAACAAGGCATACTTGATCGATGATGCTCATTTGCTAATAATCATGCGCTTCGGTTTTGACTAGACAGTGAAATTCATAAAAATATGATAAATCAAACAATTCATCTCGCTACTGTGGTGGCTCATGTAAGGGAGGATACGACGATAGGATGTTTCGTAAAAACGCCTTGGCCCTAAGGCATGTGGCGTCCAGATAGGACTCGGTACATGTACTTTGGCACCTACGTGTTCCTACCCACATGTACATACATACACATCAAGCACATGTAATGAAGCACATATACATATGTAATGCGGAATAGATGAAACCGTCCTGTACGAAAGACGCCTGCTAGAGCCAAACGGGTAAGATGGCCTGTTGGGCGTTGGCAAATAGGGCGTCTCGAACATGGTGGTTGAGACAGTTGTCTCTCGGCCAAGGTGCCATTGCGGAACGTACGCGGTCCAACCCAAAGCCACAACGGTTGGGATTGGTTGGCTTCCAAGAAGGGAAATGGAAAAAAAGAGAAAACAGTTTGAAACAAAACGAGGAGACGGGCGTTTCTTTTTCTTGCATAAAACTTGTGTGTGTCGTTGTTGTCTCAGCATTTATACCGGCGGGTGTGGGCGGCACTCAAACTATTTCTTGTTTGGGCATAGAGGGGCCCTCCCACGGCTGTGTGGTCTTTTGCTATTGGGCAGCCTTCTTTTTTTCTTTTTTCTCCCCAACATATCCAGCCGGTGGTTTGATGCTCGTACGGAACATGCATGTCTCACCCGGGTATTTTCGTTTTTATCTCGGAATCTTTTGATACCCAAGGACGACGGTGAAAAGGAGAAAAATTCAAAAATTGAAAAGACTCATTCCTTGATTCAGATACAAGGCAGGAATCGAAAAGAGAAGAAGAGCAAAGGCTCGGCAATCGCCATGGACGGCGACTCAGACGCCGAGAGCCCGCGAGGCTGGCGAGAGCGGAGGAACTCGACACTGACGGCCATTTCTCTCCTCCAGCTGGATCCTGCGCCCATGGACTCAGACCCGGACACACCGACAGAAGAAAAGAAGCCAATCGACTCGTTGGACGCCGACGGCACCGCGGAAGGCAGTGCGGGCAGCATCAAGACTGGCTCGACCATGGCGCCGGGGTTGAGTGGCAGTGGCCGAGGCGCCATCTATTATTGTTCGTTTCCTTTTTTTTCTTTCTTTTTCTCTCTCTCTTTGCTTCCCCCCCCCCCCCCCCTTGTCGTCCCTGGATTATCCCTGACCTGATTGCCGCCTTTATTCTTATTTTTATCTCGTTTTAACCCATTGCGTTTCCCCCCGTGGTTTTATCCAGTTTCAGCTGCATTGCAACCCTGTCTGAGATGCAAGTGTGTGTGTGGTTCCTTTTTTATGCTGACCGGTTGTGACTTTGTCTTTTTATCAAACATAGTGAGCCGGATGCAAAGGTACTCCAGCTATGCCGTGTCGGTATTCACCACCATGCACCTTGCCAATGTGTCCCTCATTCCCGCGGTTACACGAAGCGTGGCTGGCTCGGAGACTTACCTGCTCATGGCCCGAGAACTCTACCAGACGCCCATCACGGAGCCGTTGCTGGTTGGGCTGCCGGTGCTGATGCACATCGGCTCTGGCATTGCGTTGCGTCTTCTGAGGAGGTCCCAGAACATTGAGAGATATGGCGGGTCAACGCCCGGCATGTATGCCATGATGCGTTCGTCGACTGCTTCGCCTCGGCCGTCGGTTCAGCTCTGGCCGCCGCTCAGCTGGATCTCTTGGTCTGGATACGTCTTGCTTGCTTTTTGGGGGGCGCACGTCGTGATGAACCGAGTCTTGCCGCTAGTGGTGGAGGGCGACAGCTCCAACATTGGCCTAGCCTACGTCTCTCACGGCTTCGCGAGGCACCCCATCATTGCAGCTACCGCCTACAGGGGCTTGATTGGGATGGGATGCGCCCATATGGTCTGGGGACTGGCCAAGTGGTTCGGGATTGCACCGTCGACAAAGGGCTGGTGGGGAAGCGAAGCAGTCACGGTTGATAAGAAGACCAAGCGGCAACGCAGACGCCAGTGGCTGGGAGTCCAGGCCGCAGTAGTGGCAGCAGCTGCATTGTGGGCGGTGGGAGGACTCGAGGTTGTTGCAAAGGCTGGGCCGTCGGACGGATGGGTTGGGAAGCTATACGACGATCTCTTTGCCAGAGTCCAGCTGTGACGATCGAGGTTGTGTCAGCGACTTGGGTGGGGTGGGTGTCTGGCCCATGACATGACATGACAACGGATTATGATGAATATACACGAATTTACGAGCACACAAGTAGCCTCTCAACCCTGAGCCATGCGCACGAGACATCAATTCGAAATATGAGCCGCGAGCACGGGAACTGTGCAGATGATCTACGCTAGGAGAAAGAAAAGTTTATCCGGAGATCCATGGAGCCTCGGGAATGCAACAAGCGGCCGGGGAATTATTGTCTTTTTTTCCCCCCCATCTACGGAGTACACGCTTTGATATTTGCCGTGTCTGAGGATAAAGACGAGATGGAGGGGGACGACATACAAGGAGGTGACCGGGGGGGAGGGGAACTGCATTGGAAAGCAGAGGAGAGAGAGAGAGATGCGAGCTCATGAGAGAATGAGGGGAGAAAGGGAGTCCTTTGCAGTCTGGTACATGTATGCCGAGAGGCTAGATTCACGATAGAATACACACACGAGTAGTAAATCTGCAGCCAAAAAGAGCTGAACTTTGAACACCCCAGGAAACGGAGTGAGGGCCGAGACTAGATGGCCACTAAGGAAGGGGGGTGGTTTGATGAGTTGTTTTGCGGCTTGCATATATTAAACAAAAGCGGTATGATGAAAGGGCCTTTTTGCTGTTGGTCTCTCTTTGCTTTTTTCCTTCTTCTCCTCTGCCTGCATCTCGCATGCATTTCGGACTCTGAATCACCGCTTGGACTGTGGCAATCTATTGGTTCTGCCATCCGCGGCTGATACAAGCGTACCTGCAGGCGACTCTTTTGAGAAGTGACTTGTCGCAGGGAGGGCAGCCGGCCAAGAAGCCACGGCCGAGCTATGACTTACCTAGTACCCAGTAGTTAGCAGGTGGGAGTAGAGGAGCAGAAGAGAAGAAGAAGGGGAAAAAGGGAGAGAGCGGCTAAATGGTTTGGTATCGTTTGGGGGCTGGGCGTGAATGAGTGAATTAATTACAAATCTAGACGCGAATTGGGAAGCAGAACGAAAAAAAAAAAAAAAAAAAAAGGAAAAAGGAAAGAAATCGTGATGGTGGTTGATTTGGTGTTTCTGCTGGAGGGGGGGCCTGGGGCTGATAGCGGCTAGTGGGTACATGTACTTCTTTGCAGAGGGCGCCATACTGGGGGTACATGTGCTGGAATGGATTGCCGGGGTGTGGGGGAGCAGATGGAGCTCAACTGGCAGCCCGGCAAGGCATCAAGAATCCAATCCATCAGTGCAAGCTTCTGTCTAGGCCGGGTGCCTGTTAGTGGCTGAACGGTGCAGCAGTTGAATTGAAGCACATTGATGCAGTTGATCGATTGGACGGCGACTGGACAAGGGGGTACATCAGATGTACCTTGTGTGTCTTGGGGGGGAAGAGTTGATACATGCACGTACATACCTGGTACCTGTACATGTACATTGAGTGCTCCACAGGCAGATGCATGCAGGCAAAGCAAGGCAGAGCAGAGCAAAGCAGAGCAAAGCAGAGCAAAGGGAAAACAAGCACAGGGCAGACAAGGGGAAAACAAGACAACATAGACAAGCAAGACTTGGGACGCGTCAGGGCCGTCCGCAGGCCCCAACGGATCAATTGGATGCAAACCGCTACGGTAGCACTGGAGGAGCCGTCTTTGGGGGGGGGGGGGGGGGGGGGCCACTATATAAGACCGGCAGGGACCCGGAGCCAGCGTGCCACGGGGGGGCTCAAGCTCTGTGCAAGTTCGGTGCAAGCTCTGTGCGGTGCTGGACTCGGGCCTCGACAACCGCCAGCTTCGGGGCGTATTTGCAGCAAACCTCAGCGCTGTCCATCCCGTCAGTTGTCACCTCCAATCTCCAATCTCCCCATCCATCACCATCATCCAATATCACATCTCCGTCTTCCCGTCCAAATAAACCAACATCCATACCTTGCCTGACATCAATACGAGTACATAAACCTCCTCCTCAACCCCTCCGTCCTCCAATCCCACGTGCGTTTGTCGCCCGCATTCAACTCCACAATCTCCGTGTCTCTCTTCCTCCCTTGACAGCCGTTTTTTTCTCTTCTCTCTCTTCACTTTTCACTGTACTGCATCATCCTCAACGCCTTTTATTAGAGCTCCTCGCTGTTTCTTGTTTCTCCCTCACATACCCGCATCATCACCCTTTTCTGCACCTGCTTCACTGCGTGTCTGCATGCCCGTGACGACGCTGCAAATCGTTGGACCAGAGGGCAGAGACGCCCCGAGATCGAAACCCGGGGAGAGGCGATAACTGTCGCTGACGGCCAATCTGCTTTTGCCTTGCTCGGCTTTGCTTCTACATCATTCATCTTTACTGCTGCTTCTTCTTCTTCTTCTTCATCACCTCTTTTTCCTCCTGGTTGGGCATCCGGGCGCTGCTTATACCAGCCTCCGCGCAAACACACACATACACCCATCACTGATATTGATCGCATCAGTACACTCACGCACACACGCACACACGCAAAGATGATGGCCATCAGAAGCATGAAGAGAAAAGCGTCGTACAGCGACCATGGCAACAGCCGCCGGCCAGACGGCTCTTCTGCCACCCACTCCCTCCACGACGCCTCGGCCAAGCGGCTGCGTCTCACCAAACCCGTCGACGTGGAGCTCGGCACGCCTTCGTACGACGTGACCCGCGATGTGTCGGACGAGCTGCTGCTGCGCATCTTCGCCTACGTCGACGAGAAGACGCTGCTGGCCGCCGCGCCCGTGTCGCGCCAGTTCTACAGAGTCGCCTCGGATCCCCAGCTGTGGCGCTCCCACTACTACCGCAGGTTCATTCTGCCGCGCGCCAATCGCATCCCCGGTCTCAAGGTCAAGAGCCCGGGAAGCCAAGATCGGGAGCAGGGCCAGGAGGCGCAGGCGCAGGCGCAGGCGCAGACGCAGACGCAAACGCAAACGCAAGCACAAACGCCTGCGGGGGCCAGCTCCAGCTACGGCCACGGCCACGGCTCCAATCCCGGCCGCTCCTCCACGGCCCCCACGGCCGTCGATGCTGATGCTGATGCCGATGCCGATGCCGAGCCAGCTGAGCCCGTCAAGCCCTTCAAACCCGTTGACCCGGCCGACAAGTCCAGCCACCCGACGGACCTCGTCGACTGGAAGCAGCAGTACCGTCTGCGGCACAACTGGGCACGCGGTCTCTGCGAGGTGCGCCAGGTCCAGGTCAACCCCAACTTCTCCCTGACTCCCATCCTGGAGCGCCGGACCTTGGTCAAGGTCGTCAATGGCCTCGCCGTCACCGTCGACCTGCAAGCCGGGCTCCGGGCCTGGGACTTGCGCACGCAGCTCTCTATTGCGCAGACCACCACCGAGACCCATGACGGCATCCACCTCGTGCCCACCGCGCTGGCTTTGGACGGTCAGAGGCTCCAGGCGGGCACCTTGGACATCATGCTGGGCTTCAACGATGGCACTTTTGGCATCTGGCGCCTGACGGTCAACGAGGGCCGGCTGGCCGTCTTGTATCGCCAGGACAAGAGCTACGTGGGCAGACTCACCTCAGTCGCATACTCGTACCCTTATGCCCTGACGGCTGCCGAGCTGGGATTCATCACCCTGTACACCTTTGAGACCCCCGCCCCGGAGCCGGAGCAGACGTCTGCTGCGGGCCCGAGTCATCACGATGATGACACGGGCTATCTGAGCGACGACCAACTGTCTACGCTACAAGTGGGAGGCCAAGTAGACAAGAGCGCAGACCTCTCCAACCCCTTTGTGCTGTCGTCACTCAAGTCCGACTACTCGCGACAGCCGCTGGTCTTGTCTCTCCGCCAGCTCAAGAACTCGGCTGTCGCCTCCATTGCCTACTCGTTCGACACTGTCGGCGGCTGGGCCATTGGCATCCAAAACTTTGACATCCGGCCCTCGGGCAGCTCCAAGCCGGATGTCATCACGTCTCGCGTTGCCTACACCCTGCCTGCCGAGACGGGCGCAATGGTCACCACTGCTTCGTACCGACCAAAGTGCCCTACATGCTCCAACTTTCCCGACTTGTACATGGACGATGACGAGGGGGGGCCAACCAAGCTCTGCTACAGCCACCCCTACCTTCTCGCGACCATGCAGGACAACACTCTTGTGCTCTTTGTCGTTACTGCGACGGAAAGGTCCCTTGTCATTTCCAACGCCACGAGGCTCTACGGCCACACCTCGGGCATCGCCGATGCCGACGTGACCCCAGAAGGCAGAGCTGTTAGTGTCAGCCAGCGCGGTGACGAGATTCGAGTCTGGGATCTCGAGGGACACCAGAACGACGTGAGCGTCGAAGTTAGGCCCAGACAAGGCAGAGACTATGGCGATGCTGACGACGAGGACGATTCCTCAGACGAAGCAGAGCATAGGCGAAACTGGGTTGGGACCGACGACCAGAGAGTCACGGTCCTGAGAGAAACCTCTGATGGCCGAGAGAGCTTGGTCACCTATGACTTCACTTGATTGTCTAGCCATTCAAATGTGGACAAATAAATGTCACGAGTTGGCATGCATGAATTCAGGTTTACATCTGCCAAGATATCAATGTAGGATTGGGATTGGGATACAGGAATTGGGAAAGCGAAGAAAAGATTTATTGATTTGGAATCGTTTGGCAGGCGGCTCACATTGGATATTACGCGTGCGGATTTTCTGACAAAAACATTTGGCTAATCTGTTTACTACTTGCTGGCTTAGTACAACGGGGTAGGATCCAAAAGAACGTTATACATTGCGATGCGACGGGACGGGCGCAGGAAGGATATATATTATATAATATGGGTGTTTTGGACAGTTTTGTTTTTCAACTATGGCCTGTCAAGTATTTTATACTATTGCTATCGAGATTGCATTTTCTTCTTCTTTTCTCTAGGTATATTCATTCTAATTCATGTTGTGTATGCATTGTTCAATTTATACTTGGATATCCCCATCTTTCGTTTATACGATGCAGCCGTTATGACACGGAATAACGGTAAGCGTAGCTTTGGTCTCACTTCACCTTGGCCGAGGTCTACGCAAAGGGCGAGCGGAATGTTACCTACCTGTACTCAGCAGCGTTCCTTATCATGCTCCAATGCGACTCTCTACCCCTGATAACCGATATGATTGTGAAATAGAATCCAGTGGAATCAATCAAAGCATCGGCGTGAAAAAGCAGTGGGCATATATGAGGCCGCCGTGACGGGCTATGAAAGAAGGGTCCAAGTGGAAGGATTTACAGCAAAGTCTGTATTTGGGAAGCGGGATGTTTAGGACATGCTCTTTTTTTTTTAACGCATTCTATTCTAGGTATAAGTGAGCGAGTGAGGTTGTGTGTGTATGGAATTGCTTATTCGTTCTAGATGTGGTCTATTCTTAATGTATATGAGACGTGGGTATGTGAGTGTGAGTTATTTATAGCTTTCATCTCATTTACATGACACCGGATGCTGATGGGATCGTGCTGTCGTGGTGCGATAGCCGCAGCTTATACATGTACTCAGTGCATTCTGACTGTGGTATGTTTTGTGTTTATAGATCATAACCATTATACATGGCATCATTGTACAATGTCCTTTTAGACTCCGGGTGCAAAAGCGCAAGAAACATTTTCATCAAAGACTCTCCAGAATCAGCATCTCATCTTCTTTAAAACCTCTCCGAAGCAACCTGATCCGCCTTGACGGGCTCTACCCCCTCCGCCCCAGGCAAGCTTCCACCCACCTTGCCCCTCGTGCCCTTCTCCACGCCCTCGGGCAGATCCCACCCATGCTCTCTCACGGGGTCGGTTTTGTTGGCATTGGCCTCAATGGCGCCCAGTCCTTCTCCCACTTCCTTGTGGCCGTGAGGATGCGTTCGCGAGCCGGTGTGTTTCTTGCCCGGCAACTGCGAGGCTACTTCGCGGCCTTCGAGGCCTTGTAGGGGGCGGCCGAAGCTGTTGTTTACGTCTTTTGACGTGGCGCCGGGGAAGTCGAGGGGGTCTGTCCGGGTGGAAGCGTCGACTTCGGGGTTGTTGGCTTGGCCTGGGATTTCTGATGTGGGATTGGGGCGGAAGGATGATTCGGGAGGGGCGGTTCCTGGAGGGAATGTCTCGAGGTGGGATTCTGGGAGGCGGTCGTTGCCGACTTTGATGCCGGGTTGATGCTAGAGGATCAATTGGTTAGCTGAGGGTGTATTCTCATGCGTGGGATCTATGATTAAGATGTGTGTGTGAATGGACATACTCCTCCTTTCATCATGGGCTCGGACGGAGGGACGCGAGCGTGGAATTCGCCAGAGTAATGCGCAGGGTGTTCAGACATGATGAATTATTATGTTTCTGTTTCTTCCAAGTGTCGTTTTGCGTCTAGAAGTAATTGAAAACAAAAATATAAATTGAAGAAAAATGTCTGCCATCATTGCGATTCAGCCATATATATAATTGTCGGTATCGTAGCTATGAGCTCATAGAAGCTAAACGTTGTCAGCGGATTACATCATGTTTACTCCACTGGCGGTGGGTAGATGGCTTGCCGTTCAGTTCTGATCTTCGTTGGACATGATGAGTCGATAACATCATTCTTTCGAAATCGATAGAGATAACTTGCGTGTTGGAATGAAGATCATGAGTCGGAAAATGGCGAAAGTGGAGAATCCGTTGAAAACTACGAGGCAAGTGTCGTCAAGAGTGTGAAGAGATGGTGTAACACATTTAAAAATGACTAGTACTGTAAACTCTGATTTCTTCACCGGCTTGCATTCGATGAGTTTGTCAACCATTGAACATCAAGCGTAACTGGTTGCCCGCAATGTCAGCACTTCGGTTGTCTAATAGCGTCTTCAAAATCGCCCAGCGGTGGAGTGCTGGACAACTCAACTGTAGTTCAAGAATGCCAAGGTATTTCCCAGAGACTGTCTTCTAGTTCAAGAGAGTATGCTTGTTTCTCTGTAGAGGTCAGGTCGCCTTCTAGCCAATACACACTATTAAGCCACATGAGATATTCGTCGAGTTCCCATACTGCATAGCTCTCATATCGACTGGGTCGTAAAGGTGGATTGTATTATTAAACAAGGGCATTAACATTTCGACTTCTTGTCGGATTATACATCGCTGGAAAGCTTGATGTTCTTCATCTGTCCATTCATTCCCTGCCCGATTGTTTGAAGCGGCGCCTCGATTGCCATCGGTCCCTCGTGCATGTATCCTCCCCAAATACCCATCAGGATAGTCACTTCCTGACGCTGTGTACCGACGGAGATGAACGTCTGCGGCCCAATAGCCTGCACGGTCACGTCGCTCCATTTGTTCAACGGCAGGGTCAGGTTGACAGGATAACCAATATTGTGAGATACGAGCATGAGATTGGTTGATGTGCCATTGCCGTTGAGGAAGCTGCTCTCTGGGCCGGAAAAGAGCGCGCCGCCGTGGGACTTGGGTAGCACGGAGAAAGAAAGAGTGTAGTTGCGCCCTTTGCTCGTTAGAGGAGTCTTGAGATAGGCTCCGCGTCCGTTGAGTTGGAGAGCACCGCCGCTCACATACGCGCCGTTTTCGAGGTGGCCGTGGTAGTTGTTTCCGGAGCTATCCAAAACAGCAATCGCCGATGAGAGAGTACCTTGGCCAAAGTTGTAAGATACAATGGTCGAGCCTTTGGAGGCAATTCGCTGGTCGAGGTTCTGGTCCGGCACAGCTGGCTGCAGCGTAGCAAATAGACCAGCATAATCCTTCTCCTGCAGCGAGCTGCCCCATTGCTTGTCAGCCAGAGCCGGCAAACCGTTACGGACCATGTAGTAAGCCTCGTGGTAGGTGCTGGCATTTGGGCCCCAGTCGTTCCACACGACAGCCAAGTGTCCAAGCACGTTGGGGCTGTCTCGAGGGGGGTTGTTTGTTGCGTTGGCATTGTCGAGGATGTTGGGTGCAAACGCGCTGCCGTCGGGAGACCCGTGAAAGACACGCTCAATATCGAGCTCTTTGGGGTAGACGTCGCCGTCGGAGTACTTGAGATCGAGGTAGAAGTAGTCGTCACTGTTGACAATGTTGTATCCCTTGTCGATAAAATCAAACAGGCCGTTGTCTTGGCCAATCTGCCAGTGTTGAATCGTCACATCCTTGTTGACATTGATGGAGCCAGAGGCAGAAGAGGGTGGGAAAGTACCCCAGATGCGAGTGCTCTTCCCGGAAATGGATTGGATGTAGGCACTCATGTCGTTGACAAAGGTGCTGTACTCGTTGATGAAGTTGCTGTCGTACTCGTCTGCCCCAATGTGCACAACCTTGGAATGGAAGTTGTTGATGACCGCCTTCCAGTATGACTTGACTGTAGGAAGCGTTTCGGGATGGCTCAAGTTGAGCATGCTAAAGTCACCAAGCGCAATCTCGGGCCTCCAGTCGGTCGTTGCCATCGAATGCCCGGGAGACTCGAGCTCTGGCAAGATGGTCACACCGCGGCGTGCACACTTTTGCTGCAGATTGTCGAAAGCTGATGGGCTATACGTTTCGTTGGCCGGGCGCGCGAGTCCCTCGACTGCTGGATCAGCGGAATCAACTCGGAAGGCAGCGTAGAGCTGGAGCGCGAGCTCGTGGGAGCCGAGCTTGGCAGGATCCCAGACGTGGTCGCTGAGATGAAGATGGAAAACGTTTTGCTTGAAGAAGGAGAGGTAGGAGCACATCTCTGCGAGAAAGTCTGCCGGATAATAATGGCGGCCAACATCAAGCTAACATTGATTTAGCTGTTCAGTTTCCCATACTACTTTCACATGGCCATGTCTTGCGGGTAGCTTACCATCATGCCTCTCTCCGGCCATCCAGGAGAATCGACGCCTGTTCCGAGCTTCATCTTCTTGTTGTTGATCAAAGCCTGCTGCAGGACTGTTCGTGTTCCCCACCACGCTCCGAGGGGACTGGCGCCGCTGACCGTGACTCCTGAAGAAGTGACAGAGAGACGGTAGCCCTCTGAAGTCTTGTTTCCAGCGGCATTGACGAATTGCGACTTGTCGCTATCGAGAGTGAGGTAGATTGCATTGCTGATGGGTTTGAGCCCAGGCAGCAAGATGGTGTTGATGCCAATGCCTGCAAGATCATCTCGAAACGTCTCTGCAAACTCCCAAAGGGTGGGAGGAATCAAAGTAAGGCCATCTTGATCGCGGGTAGTCGAGTGTGCAAGGTCGACAACTATGGTATGGACGTTTCTCAAATCATACGTCCGATCCGAGGTGATGTTGAATGGCACAGTCGGTATTCCCAAAAGCTGCGCGCGTGCTATATGCCTGGTTAGAATTGATTGAAAGACGCTCCATCTTCAACAGTGGAATATTACCTAGGGAGGCCAATCCCACGACCGCTACGAGAAACCTCATATCTGCAGTGGCAATGCTTGCGTGCCGCGTCCCAATTGCCTCTGTGGCCAATGTTATTTTGGCCTGGACTGGGCGCGATATCCCATAAGTACGGATGCCATGACGCCTATTTGCACCATCATCTTCAAAGGCTCGTCCCTGACAGCGTAACGTTACAGTAGCAACCCCATGGGGATGGATGTCCTGGCCGAAGCGGAGACTTGGCCAGGGTGAAGCCAAGCTAGCGTGAGTAGCATCGTGATAGATAAGAGGTTCGGCATCTTGATCCGTCGAGCTTCATTCGTACTGGTGCTTTGAACGAGGGTATGTAGCAGTTGACAGCAGTTGTCCCTGACTCTAGCCAGACATGGAGGGATTTTTGGGTGGTTTGCGCTGCGCTTTCACGGTAGGGCTGAGCAAGTGGTCGAGGTCTGTCGGTGAGGGAGGATAATGGATGGATGGATGGATGTAATGGATCGAGTTTGGCTGCGTGGGGGCCGCAGATCGCATGCCAGATTGCCGGTCGGTCTGCTAAGCGATGATGAAAAAGTCCGATCGAAGTTTCATTCCGAGGGCGGAGATGGAAGGCTGCAAGATGGAGAGTCAGTCTGACGAGAGCATGAAGAGGACACGGCGATGGAGATGGAAGATGGAGATGAAAAACCTATTATTCTGAGCTTGAAGAGAGTCAGAAGAAACAGAAAGGATGGAAACCAGTCGAGATGGGAGAGAGATCAATACCTTGCTTGACCCTTGATGTGCTGAACGCGCAAACATCACGAGCACGATATTTGGCGGGATAGCAACCGGGTCCTCTGGCTTCATTACTACCGACTCTGCCTGTTCAAACCAACTACAGCTCTCAGCCTCAAAGATGGCTGCTGTTGTACGTGTCCTTTGTATGGATACTACTGAGCCTATCCTACGACGCTGATCCTTGTTCCCAAACGCAACGTCTTGCCAGACAAACAAAACAAACACCATTTCGCATTTCTGACTGTTCTTTGTTCTCCTTCTTCATGCCCCAGGTCAAGCCTGGGCTCACAATGAAAGAGAGAAAAAAGGCGTCAAAGACGGAAAACAAAGATTGTGCCCCCTATGAATCAGTTCATAGAGCAGAGGAAGAAAACTTCCTGCACTAGTACCCCGAGATCTTGAACTTCAGAGTACCGAGGCTTCCTATTCCCCCTCCTGAGGGTAGAAGAAGAGAAAGAAAGTTGAAACTTGGGCTGGTGGGCGATAGCTTTATAGACAAATGCCTTGGTCTGTGCGCTGTGCCTTCCTCAGCAGTGAATCACTCCTCCTTCCTCTGAGCTGTTGATATCATGATGCTTGGCAACTGAGTACATCCATGGATGTATCTACGGAGGGAGCCTTTCGCTGGATTTCAGCATGGAACTCAATGTTACGGCATCCGTCTCGATCTTTGGGTAAGGCCTTATGGTCATGTATGCTCTTCATCCCTCGTCTTACTACTTCCAGCTGAAACGAAACTTCGAAGCAGGCGAGTTCCTCACATGGGGTCGACCAGTTTCCACCACAGCAAGTGTCTTGCGTACGAACAAGCTTTAACGATGTCGCGAAGAGGAAGATGTCAAGCTGGAAATCTCTGTCAAAGTCTGCATACCATCATATGCCACGGCTCGTCTCGAGCGTCGCCTCCTCCGAAAGCTGGCTGAGCAGCTACCCACCCAGAGATGTACAGACAGACGTGAGAGCATACACGTCAAAATAGCAGACTCTTCATCTTTCCATAGTGACCGTGGAAGGGAAAACGCTCTATGCTTTTGCTGTGTGTCTGTCCGCTGCGCCGTCAAAAATTCAGCTTGCGCGCATCTTCTCGGTGTCTCTTCTTGTTCCACGACGCCCGTTTGTTTTGCAGTCACATAACGCTTTCAGCCCCGAGTCAGGAATGATGGCAGTATTCCCAGCATATGACTGTCTCTACCATGTTGTATCCTTAGCATGAGGAGTCTAATAATACTTCAGG